CGGCGGGTGCTGCAGACTTCCACGTGTCCACGTGTCCCCTCCACAAATTCAGGCGGCCCGGACTCACAGTCTGAGGAAGAAGATTCCTAATCCCCAGTCGAGGGGCTCCAAGTCCCTATCTCTCACATCCTCTGCGAGGGGTGGACCTACTGGTGAGGTGACCTAGGAGCTGGCAGTGCTGCATGTGGGGGCTGGGCACGTGTCCTCGCCTGGTTTGTCTGGAGGGCTGAGCGACCGTTGTCCTGTGGGTCCCTGATCGCCCGCCCAAGGGCTGCACAGGCAGCCCCCGGAGACGGGGCTGGTGGTGACCAGGCAGACTTTGTAAGCTTTTCTTTCCCCATGTCTGAGCGTTCGGAGCACGCGCTTGGGGTCACTTGACCCGGCTTCGGGCTCTGACTTGGCCTCCGGCTCTGGAACGCCAGGCACCTGTCTCGACTGTTCTGCACCTCAGCGTCCTCATCTAGGAGCCGTGATCCCGGTGGGCCCCACTTCGTGCCCACCGCCGGTAGTCAGGCAGTGACAATCAGCCACACTCCACTGCCCGGGGGCCGCTGTGCCCATCTGGCAGTCAGGGCCCTGCTTGGTTCCTGGGGGGGAAGAGGGGAGGTCTCCCAGGAGGGGAGACCTTTCAAGGAAGGAGCCAGCTGATTGCATCAGGTTTTTGTTTCCAAAACGTTGAGAGCAGCATCTTCTGTTTGGAGCCGTAGACATAGAGTTTCCAGCTAATCACAAGGTTAATTATCTAGTTGTTGCCTTTCCGACATGTACCAAACCAGCTGCCCTGAAATGCAGGAGAAGTGGTTCTCGGGCTTGACCCCAGCCCTTTAGGTGTGCGCCCACGGGGAAGGTGATGGGCTCCCACACGAAGCGGGGTGCAGACGGGAAGCAGGAGGGAGGGCTCCTCTTGTGCTGAGGTCTTCGATCAGGTGTGGCTTTCTTCCATCACCTGCTTGGCACAAATCTCCAAGGAAACACGTGGGTGTCCTGCCCCAGCCTCCGGGTGTTTTCAGATTTAGGGAGAGCAAGGGAAGGGTTACGATAGGTACAAGCTAAAAATGGGGCTCATCAGCCCACAGACAGAAACAGAGATGGCTTTCCGGAATGCATCAGTGCGTTGGGGTCTTTCACTGGCCAAAGGTGAACGAGGAGAAATAAAGAAATACACCGTCTGTTGAGGCAGCCGTTCAGAGAGGGTTCGAGTGCCCATCCGAGCTGCCCGCTGGTGAACCTGTCTCTGCGTGTGCTGCTGGCTTCAGAGCTCTGCAGGCTTTAAGGTGACAGTGTTTAATCTCTGCACATTTATAGTTCCACGATCCCAAAGACACAGCCCGTAATCCACACGCATCTCACGTATGTGGTAACGTTACCCCGTGGCAGGTCCTGGACAAGTTTTGAACACAACCGTTATATGAAGTGACAGTTCAGCAGAGTTAGCATCCGTTTGATTGCATGGTGATACACATAACATTTTCTCAGAGCAGGTTTTGAAACTCTGGAACATTCTTTGCCTGCTGTAATTGACGCACTTCCTGTATTTTCTTCTTCTTCTTCTAGACCGCGCAGACGGTTCTGGTGGTGGTTGTGGTTTTTGGGATCTCCTGGCTGCCACATCATGTCATCAATCTCTGGGCCGAGTTTGGGGTTTTCCCGCTGACCCCCGTCTCCTTCCTCTTCAGAATCGCCGCTCACTGCCTGGCCTACAGTAATTCCTCGGTGAATCCTATCATATACGCTTTTCTCTCAGAAAATTTTAGGAAGGCCTATAAGCAAGTGTTCAAGTGCCACATGCGCAATGAGTCACCTCTTAATGATACGAAAGAAAATAAAAGTCGAATAGATACCCCGCCGTCCACCAATTGCACTCACGTGTGAGAGCGTTAGAGCGCTCGTGTGGAGTCTCAGACAGAGCACGGTACGACAAGGGGTTAGCAAGCCTGCAACTTCTTGTGCTCATGACAAGTCGCATCATTTTAGTTCCACCTGTTTTTGAAAACAATACTTTAATCCATTTAGGAAATCTCGAGGTCTAGTAAAGATTGTTTCTAAATTTTATTTCAAAAACAAAAGGAAATGCTACATAGTTTTTTATACCTTTACAGAAACGAAAGGTTAATAGAATTCCATCGACATGTTCAATTCTTCATAGGACAGCCTATAAAGATGGTCAGGAATACTGGCGATCTACATTTTGAACCCAGTTTATTTAGAAAAAAACACATGTATGTGTTAATTCTTCAGTTTTAAGAAACGAGGTAATATTGCGAGGTATGTGTTTCAAAATATGATCATGGATACACGATCAAAGTTTGACCTGGATTTCATTTTTTTTGTGGCCATTTATATAGAGGCACATCTGTTAAATGGCGGTGAGACTTTGCCAAGTCGATTTGCACTGGCCTCATTTGCCCCCAACTGTAAATAGTGAACACGGTTTCCAGAGATGAGCTTCACCTGTCTGTGGTCATGAGGGCCCATTAACTTCATCTCCGGAGACCAGCACAGCGGCACAGAGGTGACTCACGGTGACGGACATTGGCCCGGTCACTTAAAACTATTCTGCGATGTAAGCTGTGTAGAGTTACCTAAAAAAAAAATCAGGGAAAATGCCAAGGACAACTGTTCTAATAGTGGAAGCTTTCAGTGAGATCCAAGAGGGAACGTGGTCATTAAAGTTTTACAAATATATCACCCAGGGTATTTTGTGTGCCTTGGGTGGAACTGAGCCAAAAGGGAGTAAAAAAAAATGCCAGGGAGGATGATATGTGGGTAATAGTTTCTATGGGGCTGGGAAGAAGTCAGAATCCAGTAAGACACATGGTAGTCATGCCACATGTGGAAAGCATACGCAACACGTGATTCAGATAACATTAGAAGAAAAGGAATCTTCTGAGCAGGT